AGCAGGAGAAGGGGAGGAGCAGTCACTTGGTGCAATAGTTTCCCCCAGGTGAGAAAGTGCTCCTGCAGGCCTCCCCCTACCCAGAACACAGCCCGAAGGAGAGCCGGCCAGGCCTCCCTGGAAATCAGCACCACACCCCCCCAGGGGCAGGCACCTGAGGTTTCCTCTTTTAACTCCTGCCCGAGTTGAAATAATCAAAATCCTGTTTATGTGAACAAGACTTGTAAGAAGCAATTGCGGATGACAACATCATTAAGACTTTGAAAGCCGCAGTCCGAACAGGCTCTTGTTTTGAGGTTTTACCTTCTGAAGTTACCGTGCTGCCAGATGAGGGGCTCTCAGCCTGGATGGGTGCTCTGGGATGTCCACGATAATTCCCTATGTTTGTGACAAAAGAGGTCTCCGTTGATATGATAGTAGTTTGGGGCAGATTCCCATATAAAATACCAAGCGGGAGGATGGGGCTTTAAGCCCCATCTGCAAAAGCAAACGTGGACTGAAGACTCATTAGCCATTCTGGAACTCTCTCCCGGTCCAAGCTGCATTAACTTCTCCAGCGCACCAAGTTCACTGCTGCTATAGAGTTTCTCACCAGCTGTTCCCTCGGCCTAGAATGTGCGCCCCCCCCCCCCAGCATTTTCCCATGATTTGGATTTCAGCCTAGACATAGCCTCAGAGAGGCCCTTCCTTCACCACTCGACCTGAAGATGCTATTTTAGGTCGTCTCTATCATGGCATGCAATTTTCATTCTCGTAGTGCTAATCGCTTGCTATGGTAGGCTGGAAAATGGACCCCCAAGGATTTCCAAGTCCAAGCACTGGAACTGTGAGTGTTAATTTATATGGCAAAGAGACTCTGCGAATGGGATCAAAAATTTTGAGAGGAGGGGATTATCCTGGACTATCTGAATGGATTGGATGTAATTAATCATAAAGGGCTGTATAAGAGGGACAGAGAAGATGTGATGACAGAGCAGTGATGCACTTCGAAGGTGGATAAAGAGGCCACAAGCCGAGGAATACAGGACCAGGCCACTAAGAGCTGGAAAGGCAAGTGCACAGAGCCTCCCGAAGGAACTAGCCCTGCAGACACCTTGATTTCAGCCCCATGAGATTCATTTCAGACTTCTGCCCCAGAACTATAAAAGAATAAATGCGTGTTGTTTTAAGCCACTAAATGTGTAGTGATTTGTTTCTGTAGCAATGGGAAACGAATACACTAGCTCATCTTTTCCTTGTTCATTTCTTTATTGATAGACTCTTTCTACCCCTTTCTCGCAATAGAATGCAAATGTCACCAGGGCAGGCGTGACTCCTATCTGGGGCACTGCAGGTGGCTCAGTGGCTCGCACCAGTAGTAGGTGCTCAAGAACTGTGAAGAAGATACATTTATGAGTTGTTCAAGATGCTCTTCATTTCACAAAAAAGGCAGCTACATCAAGGGTTTACTTTCCCAGCTTTCAAAAAACAATAAAATAGACTGCGGAACAGATGGTGGGTCTGAAGTCCTTGACAGGAATATACAGATATCAGTTTCAATTCAACACATATCAAAGGGTAACAAAACATAGGCATAAACAGATTTTGAAGAAAAGTCCTGAATTTTCTACAGTGTGCAGTGCATTACAGAGTTTGACACCCAGTCACTGTTACATGGATACCCTGAGCGCTCAAAAAAGGGTAAATACTCATCTATTTATAGACACTAAATTATGTCCATAAAGTATAGTGACTTATTAATATCTGGTATAAGTCCTCCTGAGAATTAAATGCAAAATGTATTAATATACTGTAAGTACTATAGGACCACGAAACATTCAATGGGTTCTGTAAGACACACGTGAAAACCAATTTTGTCATTTTAATGGTGTTTGAACTACTTCTGCTTTTCTTTTTTTTTTTTTTTAAGATTTTATTTATTTATTTGTGTGAAAGAGAATGAGAGAGAGCACATGAGAGGGGGGAGGGTCAGAGGGAGAAGCAGACTCCCTGCCGAGCAGGAAGCCCGATGTGGGACTCGATCCAGGGACTCCGGGATCATGACCTGAGCCGAAGGCAGTCGCTTAACCAACTGAGTCACCCAGGCGCCCTACTTCTGCTTTTCAACTTTGTTCAGTTTTTTTCAACTTTGTTCAACTTTGTTGAAGAAAGCTCAAATCTTAATCCATCTCCTCTGTCGTTCATGAATTACTAACAAGTACTGTGGAAAAGTTATTTTGTTATTTTCTAGAATGGACATGTTATTCAGCAACACTTTATTAGTTGTTGTCTCTTGTGTCAAAGAACACTTAAGCTTGTAACAAAATCGGAACTGGAGATTTGAAAGGGCTCTCACTACAGACTGATAGTTTATCTGGGCACAGAAATCATATTTCTCTTTTACATTTTTCACATCTTTTTCTTTCTGTGATGCATTCTGGATAATTTCTTCAGAATTATCCTCTGAATCACTCTTTCTTTGGCCGTGTCAAATTCCGATGTAATTAATCTGTCCACTGAGCTTTAAATTTTAATATTTTTTATTTCTATAATTCTATTTGGTTCTTTTTCAACTATAACTGTTAAAAAAAACAGCTTTATTGAGATGTAATTCACATACCCTACGATGTACCTATTTAGAGTGTACAATCAATTTTAGAACATTTCATCACCCCAAACAGAAATCCCGTAACCATTAACAGTTACTCCCCATTTTCCTTCAACCCTCTCCCCGAGTGTTACACAACCACTAAATCTACTTTCTGTCTCTGTAGATTTGCCTACTCTGAACATTTCATACAAATGGAATCATAATATGTGGTCTTTTGTGATTGGTTTCTTTCATCTAGTATAGTGTTTTCAAGATTCATCCACGTTATAGTATGTATCAGTATTTAATTCCTTTTAATTGCTGAAAAATATTCCATTGTATACACTCTTGTTTATCCATTCATCCACTGATGGACATTTGGATTGTTTCTACTTTTTGGCTTTTGTGAATAATACTGCTGTGAACATTTGTGTATAAGTTTTCATGTTTTCTTAGGTACATATCTAAGAGTGGATTGTGCTGGGTCACTCTATGCTAGATGTTTTTGAGAACTGCCAAATGGTTTTCAAAGTGGCTGCATCATTTTACATTTCTACCAGCAATGTATGAGGGTTCCGATTTTCCCACATCTTTGTCAACTTTTGTTTTTGTCTGATTATTATTATTATAGCTATCCTACTGGGTATGAATTGGTAGCTTGTGGTTCAGATTTGCATTCTCTAATGGCTAATGATATTGAGCATCTTCTTTTTTTAAGATTTCTTTATCTGAGAGAGATAGAGATAGAGAGAAAGTACATGTGAGTGTTGGGGGGGGGTGCAGGGGGAGGAGGGCAGAGGGAGAGAACCCCCAAGCAAACTACCTGCTGAGCACAGAGTCCTACTTGGGGCCCATTCCCACGACCCATGAGATCACAACCTGAGCTGAAACCAAGAGTCGATGCTCAACTGACTGAGCCACCCAGGTGCCCCTCGAGCATCTTTTCAGACGCTTATTTCATATCATCTCTGGAGAATATCTATTCAGTTCCTTGACCCATTTTAAAATTGTGTTATGTTATCTTCTGATTATTGAGTTGTCAGTGTTTTTCATATATTCTGGATGTAAGTCTCTTATCAGATATATGGTTTACAAATATTCTCTCCCATTCTGTGGGTTGTCCTTTGAAACACACACAAAATTTAATTTTACATCCTCTATTTATCCATTTTTTTTGGTGTCCTATCTAAGAAACCTTGCCTAACCCAAGGTCACAAAGATTTACCCCCATGTGTTCATCTAAGAGTTCTATAGTTTTAGCTCATATTTAGATTTCATTTTGAGTTAATTTTTGAATATAGTGTGAGAAAGGGTTCCAACCTCATCCTTCAGCTTGTGGATATCCAGTTGCCCCAGTACCACTTATGGAGAAGACGATTCTTTCCTCTATTTGAATTGTCTTGGATTGACCATAAATGCAAGGGTTTATCTCTGGACTTTCGATTCTATTCAATTGATCTCTCCTACCACTGAACTCCTATACTGCCTTGATTACTGTAGTTTTCTAGTAAGTTTTGAAACTGGGAAGTGTGAGTCCTTTGACTTTTTCAAGATTGTTTTTGGCTGTTCTGGGTGCCTTGTATTTCCATATCAATTTTAGGATTTGCTTGTTAATTTATGCAGGAAAAGCATCTGGGATTTTGATAAGGGTTTTATTGACTCTGTAGATCAATGTGGGAAGTATTACTATCCTAACAATGTTAACTCTCCTGATCCATGATCATGGAATGTCCTCCCATTTATCTAGGTCTTTCATTTCTTTAAGCAATGTTTTGTAGTTTTCAAAGTATAAGTTTTACACTTCCTTTTTTAAAAGATAGATTTATTTATTTATTTATTTATTTATCTATGTATGTATGTATGTATGTATGTATGAGAGAGAGAGCTCGAGCAGGGGGAGGGGCAGAGGGAGAGAATCTCAAGCAGACTCCATGCTGAGCACGGAGCCCAACATGGGGCTGCATTTCACGACCCTGAAATCCTGACCCGAGCTGAAATTAAGAGTCAGATGCTTAACTGACTGAGCCACCCAGATGCCCCCACCTACACTTCTTTTGTTAAATTTATTCCTAAGTATTTTTTGATGCTCTTATAAATAGAACTGTGTTCTTATTTTCATTTTCCAATTGTCCATTGAGAGGGTACAGAAATATAATTGATTTTTGTATATTTATCTGGTAACCTTATTATCAGATTGAGGAAATTCCCTTCTATTCCTTGTTTGTCAAGTGTTGTTATCTTGAAAGCGTTAGATTTTGTCAAATGCTTTTCCTATGTCTATTGAGATGATCATGGGTTATTTGGTCCTTTGTTCTGTTGATTTGGTGTTTTACAATGCTTAAACTTCTGTATTTTGAATCAGCCTTTCATTCCTGGGATAAATTCCACTTAGTCATGATGTATAAGCCTTTTTATTATCGGTGGATTCAGTTTGCTAGTATTTTGTTGATGACTCTCACATCTATATCATAAAGAACATTGATGTGTTGTTTTCTTGTGATGTCTTTGACTGGTTTTGATAACTGGGCAATAACTGACCCTATAGAAGGAATTGGGAAGTGTTCCCTCATCTTCTATTTTTGGAAGAGTTTATGAAGAATTGGTATTTTTCTTTCTTTGAATGTTTAGTAGCATTTGCCAGGGAGGCCAACTAGGTCTGAACTTTGTTTTGTGGGAAGTTTTAAAATTGCTAATCTAATCTCTTTTTATAGGATCTTCCAGTTTCTTTTTTGAATGTTATTTCCTTGTGGTTTCTATTCCTTCATCTCTGTAATCATTTACAATATTATTTTATAGTCTCTCCCAGATAGTTCTGTGTAGTTTACTTGTTTTATTTTGTCTGGTTTGGTTATTTATCATTTCATTTAGCCATGACTGTGTTTGCTGATTCTCTATCATGGTAAATCACATTTCCTTATCTGTTTTGGGAATTTGTCATTGTTGTTGTTCAAGGTTCCACATGGTGTTTTGGAATTCATCCCAACTGTAGGCTGAGTGACCTGCAGTTTGGACAGACTGATAAAGCCCAAGAATTTCAACATTTCCTTAGTGTCAGGATCGACTCCAATGATTTCCTGATCCAGGGTGGAGATCTGAGCAACATAATCATCTCTCCTTTCTCTCTCCTCCTCCTGCAGATGGATGGAGATACCACTCACCAGGCTCCTCTCAATCCATTTCATCAGATGTTTGACATAGCCTGTGATCTTGCTGAGGGGCTTCTTGCCGGGAATAACAGCGATCTCCTTACACTTGAGCTTGTTGGTGTGGGAGTCATTGTCTAGGCACATGCAGTACTTCTCAGTGGTGACCAGGCTGCTTTCTTCATGGTTTTGGTGTGAATGCAGCCCATGTTGGCGGGCCTGGTAATTATTATGAAGTCATCTTTAGTGGTGATCCACTTTGTGTACAAAAACCTCCTGTGGCCTGGGTTATAAAGTATTCCTCCAGAAAAGCTTTGCGTATGTTCCTGAAGGGCACTCCAAAAAGATCACCAAGGGTGGGGTGCCTGGGTGTCTCAGTTGGTTAAGCATCTGACTCTTGATCTCAGCTCAGGTCTTGATCTCAGGGCCCTACTTCAGAAAAAAAAAAAAGAAGAAGACTACGAAGGAAGAGTATAAAATTCAGACTTTGCACCTGCCCCATGTCACAGGCTTGGTGGGTTAATTTCTCTTGGGATGGTATTTTTTTTTCTACTAAACACTCCAGTGAAGCCAAATTCCTCTGTCCTCCCCCTACCCCAAAAGTACTTTCTATTGCCCCTCTTACTGGCACGCAGTCTCCTGAGGGTCCCACCGGTGTGAATGGGTCTTAGTGTCTACTCTCCATCTTGCACAGGTCACAAGTCCTTATACAAGTGGAACTTAAAACATTCGAAACTCTGACCATTTGGGCCCATCTCCAGCTCCAGCACTCCCAACCCCACCCCCAACGGCCGCCATATCATCTGTCCCGGGGGCTTGTTTTGCTTCCCTTTGTGTTTTTGGCATCTGGTGTTTCCTTTTTTCTTCCCCCCAAACTTGGCTGTGTGTTAAAATATTTTTGTTACATTTTATATGTAATTTCAAGTATTTATAGCTGGGGTAATTCTGGGTTGTACAGTCTGCCAGAAGCGTGAAAGGGCCTTTGTAGCCTCCATTTGAAACTGCTTATGGTGTGATAAGTACGGGGCTAGGAGGCCAAGGATCACGTTCCGGTTTGCCTCTATCAGGAAGCAGGACCAGGCACGGCATCTCCCACTTCTTGGTCTCAGTTTTTGTTCACCTCCGAAATAGGGTGGTTGGTCTTCAAGTTCCTCTCAGTTCTAAAATTCTCGGATTTTTTTTTTTTAAAAACTTCTTTCCATAGCACTTATTCTGAAGTATTCTCTAGGTGCAGTTTGGCCTCTCTGAGGAGAGGCTGTTTGCCAGAGGCCACGATAACCTGAATTCTTTACTTTTCCAAGGGCAGAAAGGGAGAGACACTTGTCTGTTGTCCTGAAAATCCCTCAGTGATTTGGCTTCATGGGGGAAATGGCTGCATTTGCAGAAATGGATCTGCCTGGCCTGTCTTCATTTGCCTTGTCTTTTATTTTTTTCCATGGGAAAACATCAGCAGAGAAAGTTCCAGACTTTCTTTTCCTGAGCAGCTTTGTTTTCTGTACTTAGCAAATGCCAAACATCGACCACATCTGCAAATTTCCTCTTTGTAAGACTTAAATTCTTGCACCGAGTGCCCAATACTTTATCTTGATAGACAAGCACAGTAAGTTCTGGAACAATTTTACCTTGAGCTGGGGTTTTTTTTTTTTTTTTTTTCTTCTTGGAGGACAGACTTGGAGAAAGGCACTCTGAAGTGCTTTTACAGAAATCTATGGAGCCAGATAGATGATTCTCATGTCCTTCCCTGAGGCTACTGTCCCAGCCGAGAAGGGGAAGGATACCGGGATTGTCGAGCAATTCCCCAAAGTGAACAGGAGGGGGTGCTGAGAAAGTGGAATGTAATTGAATATTCTTTTCCACCAGGACAATTTGTCTTTCAACACTTTAATTCTCTTTCCGAGACAGCAAAGGCTTGTCTCTGATGAACATTTTTTTCTGCACCTCCTCCTTATTATGCACCCATGTTTCTGTCCATGCACCTGCCAGGTGCCACCTCACCGCAAGGGTCCCTTCAAGCTTCAATGCCCCCTGGCATTTCCAGTGAACTTGTTTCTAGAACAGCTCAGACCATCTGTAACCTTTCTCTCTATCATTGTCCCCCTGCTCTGACTCCGAATTTTCATGGATCTATGAGAGCGATAAATGAAGAGGGAAATGCAATCGTATCACTAAAAGGGGAAATATTAGCCCCGAGGATCTTGAAATTCAGCATAAAATGAAAATTTCCATTAGGCAAATGCGTGCAATTATAAATAATTAAGCAAAAACCTTGACTAGTAATTTACGTGTTTCTCCAAAAAATGTCCCTCACGTTGACATTGACCAAGAAGCAAAAGAAGGCTGAAGAATCAATGGAAACTCTGCTGAGTCCAAAAGGCAGATTTTGCCACTTAAGCCAGTTTGTAATGTCCCATTAGTATCCGATCGCTATAAAACTTTAAGCATGCGTTTGGCTATGATGTCAGGCAGGACTCTGGGCCCAGAAGTAGGAGTCACAAATTCATGGCGGAAAGAGCTTCACCATTTTAATGCTCTCAAAGGATGCGCTCACCAATTAAAAGCATGCACCCTATGCATTATTTGTTGTTTTGAGAGATCTTTAAAGTCTGCAGTTGCTATAACCTTGGTAAAGGAACAAGCAGGCATATGATGTCAGATACTCAATGCCCCTTTTCTGTTATAGGGTCTGGAGAGGAAGAAACTTGAATTTTTGGTCTCCTTTGCAATTAGGAATGACAAAATAGACACCGTCCTCACCAAAGAGACAAAGTAAATAAACAAAGGTCTGCTGAGAAGGTAAAAAGCAAAGTAGTTAGGGTTCGTTCAGGCAATTGCTTGCTTGACCCCCTAATAACTTCCTAGAAAGCAGATGGTCATGTCCATGAAAGAGGTGGATGCCATCTTGCGAGCTCCAAGCAGCAACAAGACTGGTGTCAAAGAATTGAGATTGATGTGTGGAAAGAGAGAGAATGGGACCCCGTCAGCACGTGAGCACTGAGTTTTTTGTTCTTTGCAGCTGAAAGCATTCCTAAGTGACATATATTGTAATTAAAATTTGGGAAAATTTGTGATTGTGTTGATGTCAACATATACAAAACATGATGAATCTTCAGATGAAAAATCCAAAAAGTGAGAAAGCACTTTTTGAAACGTTTAATACATTTAAATGTCTTCATTTCGGGGATGACCATATTTTGGAGATAAAACGAAAAGATCTATGGACTGCCACATAAGAATATGATTATGGAGACCAGAGCGGGGAATGTTGTTAAAATTGGGACGCTCCTGGAAAATCCTAGAAAATTGTCTTAAGAGTTTATATCCTTAAGCCACTTTTTAAAAGCACTTTTATTTTACTTTAATCAGAGAACGTAATTTTATGCCCACTTTCCAAGAAATATGTTTCTGAATCATTTTTCAAAGTTGGCAAATAAAAGCCTTGTAGAGATAAATCATCCACTTTGCTTTTGAGTCAGTCACTGTTCCCACAAAACAAACAACAGTGACAATATCCCCAGAGGACACAAAAAGGAAAGTATTCATGCATTATTAGCTAAAAGAGATGGATCCATCTCTTGGCCTATAATTGAGCTCATAATTCTTGGAAGATTTCCCCTGTATCAGTGGCTTTCTTCCAAACACGAAAAGAGATGAGATTTTTGGCACAAAGTGTCATTCGAAGCTCCTTGGGGGGTAAAACATTTGGATCTTTGATATTAAGCCGGCAAAATATCTGGGGGTCTGCATTTCCTCCCATTCTGATTGAGCTAGCCGTTGGGTTACTGAGTCGGCTCTGGTGTGTAGACTCAGGGCCTCTTCCTCCGTGTAGATACAGCAGGGGGATGGAGGAGGAGTATTTGTGCCTCGGGGCGTTCCCAGACCCTTGTAAGCCTGACATCGGCTTTGGAGTAGCTCTGGGCTCCTGGGGCCTGTCCCCATTGCCACGTGCTGACTCGGGTCTCCTGCTGCCATTGGAAAGGGCTAGAGTGTGACGACAGTGTCCCCGGTGTGGTGGGAAGGTTAGTTTCTAGTCTCAGTGATAACGGCCCCCGTGTGACTGGGAGCCAGTCACGCCGTGTCCCTGGACCTGTGTGTCCTAATCAATAGGAGTGGGGGTAGACAGTATTCCAGATGACTCTGAGGGTGGTTGAGGGGTCATGCTTTCCTTAGCGGCCCTTCTCCAGAATTGCAGCTACCTGGCCAGGCTCCGCATCGGAAGCAGCTGCATAGACCAGGGCAGTCGCCCTGCTCTGGGGCTACTGGCCGGGGGGGGGGGGGGGGGGGGGGGGCGGGAGGGCTAGAGCTGCCTTAGCGGAGGCTGAGAGGTCACGGGTCCCTATTCTGAGGCTGTAGCCTGCCCACCCGCCCCCTACGCAGCTGCCTTTGATCTCCAGATCGTTCCATGTCACTGTCAACAGATTGCAGCTCACCCTGAGATCAGCTGGCCTGCTTTTCACACCCACCTCAGGCTCCAAGCTTGGTTGTAAAGTCACAGGGAATTTCCACACCGCTCATGGGCAGATGCATCTCAAGTTTTGCTATTATTATTATTACTTTTTGAAGGGTGAACACTTTCTAACTTGACGTTTTGACTTTTAGCAGAAGCGACAGTAGAGAAGGGGACCAGCCACAGATGGCCGGGTGCCCAGGCTGAAACTATGCTGGGCTCCCCCGTGGCTCCCGAGCTACTCTTCTTTCTTTCTTTTTTTTTTTTTAAAGATTATTTATTTATTTATTTGCCAGAGAGAGAGAGCGAGCACAAGCAGGGGGAGCAGCAGAGGGACAGGGAGAAGCAGGCTCACCGAGCAGGGAGCCCAACAGGGGTCTTGATCCCAGGACCCCGGGACCATGACCTGAGCCGAAGGCAGATGCTTAACGACTGAGCCAAATGGGCACCCCGGCTCCCCAGCCACTCTTGGCAGAAAACCACTTTGGAGGAAGTGGGACAGGCTGCTGGAATTTGGGCCCACACCCCAATCTCTGATCTCAGCTCCCTGCTTCTTTCCAACCCAGTTTGGCCCACCTTCTGTGGCAGGCCCCTCACCCCCCGACCCCCCACCCCCTCTGCCTTTTGAAATCGTCGCTTCCGGCCTGGCTTTGCTGCCTGGGCTGCCAGGCAGTAAGCAAACTCTCCTGTGTCTTGTTTGCTGTGTGTCTTTGGGCAAGACACTTGACCCCACTGAGGCTTTCCCCACCATTTGAGAAACGGGAA